TAATGGATAATCAAGAAATTGGATAATTACCCGATTTAAGATTATCTTGGACTTAGTCTTATCTAGGGTTTACTATCTGCACTATAAATAAAGATATATATAACCCTAGTATTTTCGGCCACTTCTTCCTAGAGAACTCCAACCGAAAATTTGCTTCCTCTCTCCTTCTCCATAATCTCATTCAATTGCTAGTATTGGGTGTGAGCCATTAAAGCTGTGACAATTGTGACACTTGTTCTCAAAGTCTCAAGAACATTAGGGGATTGGATTATTATTACTATATAATAATCAAAGGTATGTTTTATAACCCTAATTATTTAACTTTGATTATATACTAGTGTTCTAGGTTTTCTACATTGTTGTTTACATGGTATGTTCAATTAGAGAAAACGTAGATCAAATTTAGGGTTGCATGCACACATAGGATTGTTTGTTATACTCATAACGCATCAGTTTGGCTTCTGATATTTGTATGAAAGACCAGGGTTTGGCCCCTCACATTTTCATGGAAGACCAGGAATTGACCATTGGCAATGGTATGGAAGACCATGATTTATCCCCTGAAACTTCTACAAGTATAGACCATGATTTGACCCATGACAGAAAGTGATTGTAGACTATGATTTGATCCACAACATTCATGTGGGGTTGAAATAGACCCGTTGTATGTATGGTATGTGGTATTTTGGGAAAATTACTAACCTTTGTGCTTACAATTTTGTGGTTTATATATTTCAGGTACTCCTGGTTCCAAGGGGAAGGGTCTGACATGATTGCATCGCATCCACAAGAGATTTCATACTTATGATTTTGTTGTCACTCTGATGTTATTAGAAATACTTTTGATACTACCGCTATATTGAGAGTAATGAATGAATGTTTTGGGTTTATTAAAACAAAGTTTTATCTAGTATTTTTGGGATGTTACATAAAAAAAAGGAAAGCCATAGAATTTAGAAAGCGGGTTTCCATTTCCTACCAAAACCCTTTCAATCCTACTCGCTGTTTTCTCATCATCAATCCATTCGATATACCGTCATCATTCTCCTCCAAGATTTATGGTAATGACATACTAACGGGTGACATTCTACACCCCATGCACATGTTAACATAAACACCAAAACATGAAGCGATAAGGATGGTCGCATATTTCGGGGGGTGTGTAAATGAGCCATGATTCCCTTGATTAGTTTAGGTTTGCAGGTTGTAGTCACAACCGCTTCATATGTTCTATCATGCTGCAATGAAATGAAGTTAAATTAGGCCGGTGCTGCATGTTTCAGACTAAAAGGACACCATTTCGAACTATAATCCTGTGTTCTGGACACCATTCCGGAATAAGGACAACATTCTGAACTTTATTTTGGAACGATTTTTGACATTCCAAAGATATTCTACATATTTCGGAACAATTCTACGCCTTCCGGATTAGTTCAACATATTCCAGACTTATACCGGACGAAATCAAAAGTAGTTGTTGTTGTTATTATTATTATTATTATTATTATTATTATAGTTGTTCCAATAAATACATATACTCACATATAATCATAGAAAAAACCTAAAAGCAACTAAAGTTCAAAGGAAAAATGACTTATCATTGTAATCACATCAATTCATAAAAAAACCGAAATTTCTTATTTTTAACATATATTCACAAATAAAAACAATATAATAATGCCAAGAAACACATACCTATAAATTTTTTATCTCTTCGCTACTAGAAGAGGACATTCTTCGAAATTGATGTAGACCGGAAGAATGAGTATTGACTCCGAAATAAGGTCCAAAACAATGAATTCAAAACAATAGCCCGACATGTTACAATTTATATAGGGAAAATACCGGCAATAGTCAAAAAATCGGGGGTATTTTCAAAATTTAGACATGAAAATGGACATTTCCGGGTATAGACATGCATTCCGCGAAGGTAGCTCCGCGGAATGGCAAAATCGTAAATAATTTAGTGTATTAAAAAAAAACTCAAGATCCATTCCGCGGAGGTACAGTGGATTCCGCGGAGCTCCAGTGGATTCCACGGAGCTCCGCGGAGGTAGCTCCGGGGAATGGATCTTCAGCTTTTTTTTTTTTTTCAAATCCATTCTTCGGGGTTTATATTCATTCCCCCAACTAATTATTTTCAAGAAAAAATTATGATAGTATGAATTTTTCTTGACAATGTTTGGAATGAATGTGAGGTATTAGAGATCATTACATAAAAGAATAATTGTAGGAGATTTTTTTTTAAGTGAAGATCCTACTCCGCGGAATCCACTGTAGCTCCGCGGAATGGATCTTGAGTTTTTTTAATTATTATTTTTATTTTTTTAATACACTAATTTATTTACGATTTTGCCATTCCGCGGAGCTACCTCCGCGGAATGCATGTCTATACCCGGAAATATCTATTTTCATGTCTAAATTTTGAAAATATACCCCATTTTTTTTACTATTATTGGTATTTTCCCATTTATATATATGGACCGTACTACTGGGTCATATATATATATATATATATATATATATATATATATATATATATATGGACCGTACTACTGGGTCATACCATTTTACCATTTTACTCGTTTACCTATTTTTAAATTCAAGTGTAGGATGAGCCGGACCGAATGATTATTTTTTAAAAATAATTTAAACTAGTTATTTTTTTTAACAAAACCACAAAAAATGTTAGATCACTCAATTTTCCATGTTTAATTAACATTTTATTACAAAAGTTATAAAAGAACTAGAATTCTTGCATAATCGATGTTCAAGTAGGGGTGAGCATGGTGCGGTTTGGTGCGGTTTTTGGCCAAAACCGAACCGAAAACCGCAACTTCGGTTTTTTGAAATTTAGAAACCGCACCGTTCGGTTTTTATGCGGTTCGGTTTTTTTTGCGGTTTTTTTTTGTTTTTCATTTTGCCTTTTTACTAAAACTCAAGTAACTCGGCGAGTTACTTTGACTTACATGAGGAGTGCTAATCATTTTTTGGAGATGAACCGATACCACCACATCTTGGTTTGAAATCAAATTACATAACCACTCATCCAACATGTTTCTAATGCTCGAACATAATACGAATTTAATATAATATTTGTTTCACATGTACATGTAATAATATCAATTAATGTATTCATAAAAATGATACTATTATCACTATTACTCTTCACATTTAAATGTTAAAAAATGTCATAAACATTTGTTATTGTAAATACTACTGACTGTATGCTTAAAAATATAGAATCATCATCTGATAGATAATATATATATTTATATTTATAGAAATTTTAATTGTCATAAGTTCTTGGTTCTTACAAATATCAACACTTAATATATATATATATATATATATATATATATATATATATATATATTAAGTGTTGATATTTGTAAGAACCAAGAACTTATGACAATTAAAATTTCTATAAATATAAATATATATATTATCTATCAGATGATGATTCTATATTTTTAAGCATACAGTCAGTAGTATTTACAATAACAAATGTTTATGACATTTTTTAACATTTAAATGTGAAGAGTAATAGTGATAATAGTATCATTTTTATGAATACATTAATTGATATTATTACATGTACATGTGAAACAAATATTATATTAAATTCGTATTATGTTCGAGCATTAGAAACATGTTGGATGAGTGGTTATGTAATTTGATTTCAAACCAAGATGTGGTGGTATCGGTTCATCTCCAAAAAATGATTAGCACTCCTCATGTAAGTCAAAGTAACTCGCCGAGTTACTTGAGTTTTAGTAAAAAGGCAAAATGAAAAACAAAAAAAAACCGCAAAAAAAACCGAACCGCATAAAAACCGAACGGTGCGGTTTCTAAATTTCAAAAAACCGAAGTTGCGGTTTTCGGTTCGGTTTTGGCCAAAAACCGCACCAAACCGCACCATGCTCACCCCTACTTGAACATCGATTATGCAAGAATTCTAGTTCTTTTATAACTTTTGTAATAAAATGTTAATTAAACATGGAAAATTGAGTGATCTAACATTTTTTGTGGTTTTGTTAAAAAAAATAACTAGTTTAAATTATTTTTAAAAAATAATCATTCGGTCCGGCTCATCCTACACTTGAATTTAAAAATAGGTAAACGAGTAAAATGGTAAAATGGTATGACCCAGTAGTACGGTCCATATATATATATATATATATATATATATATATATATATATATATATATTATATTAAAGTTGTGGAAGAAAGGAATAGTAAACTTATGATACTTTGTCCAAGTTTGGTCCCTTGATTTTCATATCCGGTCCCTATACTTCTTTAATTAATTTATTCATGTCTTTTTGTTTGTGTTCCATTCAACTTCCCATTTTTTGGCAGAATTGGTCCCTGTATTATTGTTGGAAGTTAGGAATACTAAATTTGGATGTTTTTTGGTAACTTTGGTCATTATTCTTTACCCATTTTAACACTTTTGGTCATTGCAATCAATATTTTTACACTTTTTTGGAACCTTTTAATATTTAAAGTTTGGCCACAAAACTTTAACGGTTTGACAACTTTGATCCCTTTTCTAAAAAGTTGCTAATTCCTACCCCTTTAATTCTTTAGCCATTTTCACACTTCTGGTCCTTGCAGTCAAAACTTTTACATTTTTTGTCCGGGGCAAAGCCCAGACTTTTCATCCTTGCACTTTCTATGTCTGTCATATTTATCAATTCGGAAATAACATTGAAAGCTTCTGGCCCCGCGTAGCGGGGGTAACCTTTCTAGTATATATATATATATATATATACGGTGCGGTTCGGTTTCTTGCGGTTTTTGCGAGACTACAAACCGGACCGCACCGAGTATTTTCGGTTTTTGCAAAACTAAAAACCGTACCATCGGTTTTCATTTCGGTTTCGGTTTATGCGGTTTTTTTGGTTTGCGGTTTGGTTTTTTCTCACCTATGTTCAAGCACTCATCAGAAGAAAGAGGTAAAGAAGATAAAAAAAAAAAAAAGTAAAACAAAAGGAAAAGCCATAGAATTTAGAAAGCGAGTTTCTATTTCCTACCAAAATCCTTTCAATCCTTCCCGCTGTTTTCTCATCATCAATCCATTCGATATACCATCATCCTTCCTCTCCAAGCTTTAATTTCACATTTCCTCCTTATTTATGTATATATGCTTACATATTTGGAGAAGAAACCCTAGTTTTTTCATAAACCCCCAAATTTTATCATATTCGATACTTCTTCATCAGGTATCTTCTTAATTACTTCCGTTTTTTTCTAATTTTTTTTCCCGCATACCTATGTAAGATGATTGTCGTCACGCCTTTGTTTGTGGGTTCGATATTGATGTGACAGGTTATCAATTAAATGGAGGCCATGGCGCAACCGATACCCAGAACAGCAGACGAGGTTTTCAACGACTTCAAAGGAAGAAGAACCGGTTTAATCAAAGCTCTTACCACTGGTATGCTCTGTTTTTTTGTTTGCTTTCTTTCCGCTGATGTTGTAGTTAAAAATGTTTTTCTTAATTTTTGAAATTCGTTATCTGGATTTCGTACTGATCTTTAAGCTTTTTTGATTTTGCAGACGTTCAAAAGTTTTATCAGCTCTGCGACCCTGGTTAGCTCTTCTTTCCGGCTTCTTCTACACACGAATCCATAACAATAATAGACACTCTCATCCCAAAATTAGGGTTGACATTAGGTTTTTAGAGTAAAATGTAGATATTTCCATGTACCTTCTTTCTTAGAGGCAATTTTGTTGTTATTTCATTTGTAGGTATATAATTTGTGTTGTTGTGTTACAGAGAAGGAAAACTTGTGTTTATATGGTCTACCAAATGAAGGATGGGAAGTGAATCTTCCTGTTGAGGAGGTGCCCCCTGAACTTCCTGAGCCAGCTTTAGGTATAAATTTTGCTAGAGATGGAATGCAGGAGAAGGACTGGTTGTCACTTGTTGCAGTTCACAGTGATTCATGGTTGCTCTCTGTTGCTTTCTATTTTGGTGCTCGTTTTGGTTTTGGTAAGAGTGAAAGGTAATATTTATTTGGTTTAACCTAAATCAGATGCTCATATATCTTAAATTTCTCTTTCAAGTATTCTTTAATTTTCATTTCCCCTTTTTGTTACTTTTATCCCAAAGTGATTACTCACAGAATACACTCAATGATCATGACTGGCTCTCCCAAAAACTCCATTTTTAAGCTGCCCTAAATGGACCTAAGTAGAAGAATGACCAAACTGCCCCTGCCTTACCAGTTTGTTACATACTTGATACTTATCTTCTAACAGTAGGACCATAACTAATAGGTGTAGACACTTTTAAATCAGTTTTTATATCTTTTGAGTAAATTACATGAATCGTCCCTGTGGTTTCGAGTAATCTGCAACTTTCATCCCTGTATTTTTTTTATATCTTTGAGTAAATTACATGAATCGTCCTTGAGTGCTTTGATTTTGATTTTGTAGGTTTGCAAAACAAATTGGGGTTTCATTTGGGTTTATTTTAGTGATTTTATTCTTCATAGTTTGTTCAAGATTGCAGAAATAATCTGAGTTCATTTTATTAATTTTATTCTTCCGTGTTCATTTAATGATTTTAGTAGTTTTATCCTTCATGGTTTATCACAGTAGGGAGGAGTTTGTAATTTACTCAATATCTTTCATCACTAGGACAAGTAGCCATGAAGACTATTTAAGAGCAATGTTCTATTTTAAAAATTATATGTTTTTGTTAGATACTGCGACTATGGTGTAAGATTATTTTTATTACGTTAGTCAATAAGTTTTTAATGCTGATTGTTTCTAATTAAAACGTTAATACTCTTTTTCGCAAATATTAATTGGCCATGTTTAACAAATATATTAATGGTTACTTGATATCTTTAGGAAGAGGCTTTTCCAAATGATAAATGATCTCCCAACTGTATTTGAAGTTGTATCTGGAGCAGTTAAGAACCCTAAGGATCAGTCTGAAGTTCTAAACAATAGCACTAAAAGCAAATCATCTGGAAAAATGGTAAGCCCCGTTGGCTACACAACACATGACAAAAAATGCTGTATTGTACTGTGTTTGACATGCACTGAACTGAGACCGGAACTGATGTTGATGGGACAAAAATCGTAATCCTTTTGTCCTAATCCAAAAAAGTGGGACAGAGGCTCGTTCTCGTCTGTGAAAAAAGTCGAATGCAGTACAAACTGTTCCGTTGTCATAATGTCATGTCATGTCCTGTCTGTTTTTTCTTTTCTTTTTGTATTTTATTTTAACAAATGCCTGATTTTTTTAATTTTAGCAGTCACGGCCATCTGAATCAGTCCCAAAGGGGCTAAAAATGACACCACCACCGAATGATGAGGAGGATAGTGGAGAAGAAGAAGATGATGAACAGGGAACAGCTCTTTGTGGAGCTTGTGGTGACAACTATGCAACTGATGAGTTTTGGATTTGCTGTGATATTTGTGAAAGATGGTTCCATGGAAAATGTGTAAAAATTACACCCGCTAAAGCCGAGCATATCAAGCAGTACAAATGCCCAACTTGCAGCACCAAAAGGGCTCGACTTCAGGTTTAGGGTTACAATTATATATATATAAAAAAAGTATTTATGGCATTGTGGTTTGATTTTTAACCCTTCATTTTTACAATGGAACTTGATCTAGTGCCTGTTTTTGGTTAAGTTTATGGTACACGCTTAACTGTATTTTGATTGATGGATTTTTTTAAGGGTGAAAATTGGATTCTGCCTTTTCTTTTTTAATTTTTTTTTTGTTTTCTTATGATGTTGATTAAGCACCTTGCGCAATAACGTTTTGCTTTGATGTTTTTGTATTGGTGGGTTGATCTGTTGAAGCAATAAATCACATATGTTCATAAATAATACATGTTCATGTGTAGATATATGTATGCTTATTTATGAACGTGCCTATGTTTAGACACAAAATGTGTATAATTTGGTTGTGTTGAACCTGACTTATATTTTACTTTACTACTAGATTTTGTTGTAATTGTTTATAATGTTATCTAAACAATTGTGAACCACATAAATTCCATAATGTAGATCGATAAAGTCAACCTAAAGATAATGAAAACAGTGGTATGACGTATCAGTTTGGTAAAAAAGAACTATCGGTTTCCTTTATGTATGAAAATCATATCAACATTCCCAATAAAAAAAGCTGGTAGTTTTAACATTTTTTGTGATAATTAAAGCAAACTGATTGGACTTGAAGATTTTGACAGAGATTTTATATTATAGCTTTTGAGTTCACACAATACCGATGTGCTTTCTATAGATATTTACACCTGTTCCCAAGTCAAAATTAACCGGGGAAGCGGAGAGAAAATAAGAGAATTGGAGAAAAGAGTCGAGACTATAAGAGAATTGGAGAAAAGAGTCGAGACTGTTCCCAAGTTTATTTTTTGGAGTGATTTGAGAAGAAAGGAAAGGAAATCACTAACATTCTTTTCTCTCCTAATCTTCCTTCCAAATGGGAGAGATTTGGAGAGAAGATAATCATTGATTAAAAAAATTCCTATGATTACCAAACTACCCCCTAAATATTCACGTACAATATCACAGAAAAAAAAAACCGCTGCTTCTCTGACTCATTCCTCACGCATCTTCGTCCCTCACACATCTTCGTCCCTCACACACCTAACCAAAGGTCAAGTAGCTTTGTCAACAAAGGGCAGAAACGTAGAAGGTAAACTTTTCACTAGTTAACATTGATTTAATCTACCTTTCTCATTATAGTTTGTAATTTAGATATATGTTGTGCTGAGTAACTTCGAAAAGATTGAATATTACATTTCTCGATGATGTAATCTTGCATTTCTCCAAGTTACAATTGCTATGGAAAAGAATATGTACTCAACTAATTTGTTTTCTGTCAAGTAAATGTTTAAATGTGTTTTCTATGTTGAATAGGATGCTACTGTATTAGTACTATATTGATTGTATTTTGGTTACATATTTTCCCTTATCAAGTTTCATTCTTTTCACTCCATGGTGCAAGTTTTAACTTGTATCTGTTATCATCCTATATTTTAATAGTTTGCATTTCTTAATAACTTACCAAGAGACACATGTAACTTACGATTGATGTGATGATAGACTTTGTTACGTTTGATGTGACGATAGACTTCGTTGCAATTTAAATTTCTTGGATTCACTTTGTTTCCTTGTCAGTATATTGGTCGTCATGGTTTTCATATTATTTTAAAGTTTTTGGCAAAGATACAATTCTATATAAACAAGATGAAGAGCCTTGTTACTATTTACGTATCAATTTGATTCATTATTTTAATATTATAGAAACGGGTTGATGCCTTAATAGCAGTTTATTCTAAGAGCTTCAAAATGATTTTATTCTATTTGAATCTGAAACTTTTTTCCATTTGGTTTTTCTGTAATTTCTTAAATATAAATGACCAAAATGTTTGTGTTCTCTTTGGCATTTCAAATTACTATAAACCTTTCAAAGCTAAGGGCTCCATGAGCATTATGATCGACTTTTATTACTTGCAACAAATAAAAAAAGGTAAGATTATATAAAAACAACTTTATGCCGACCAATATATTGTCAAGGAAACAAAGTGAGTCCAAGAAATTTGACTTCTTTATTCACCTTTCTTTGAATTTTCCTCTATGAAATGTATAATATGCACAAAAAATCCATTCACAAATATTAACCGATTATAACCGAAACCGAAACCGAAATTAACCGAAACCTAATGGTTATGAAAACCCATTAACCGAGTGGTGTGGTTATGGTTCGGTTTTGTTCAATAACCGAACAAAACTGAACCATACCAGTTTCAAATGAAATACTACCTAAACCCCCTCACATGTCAGTTACAATGTAAAAGAAAAACTTCCAATTTGTAATTTGAGGTCGGAACATCCCATTTTAATCGATTATATGTCTAGCATGTCATGTTAATTGATAGTTTGATACCTTGTCTGATATCACATACTTCATCAAACAATAGGTAACATTTTCGATGGATAGTGAGCTACAAACACCCGCTCAATTTCTAAGAGTCAGACAAATGCAAGTAGTTCATCTGATTTGTTTGTTGATGGCCATTCTAACACATCGTGCCCTTGCCAACACAAACCGTCCCAAATTACCTTCTAAAAAACTTATTTTAAAACGAAGACGTATACGTGAACAGTTGCTACATGACCTTGCAGACGGTGGTCAATGTCGTGAACCTATCCGTATGAGTGAGCAAGCTTTTAATAAATTGTTCATTATGTTACAACAAGATGGTGGTCTTCGACCTACTCAACGCATTTCCGTTGAAGATCATGTTGCAAGGTTTTTGCATATTGTCCGCAATGATTTTAGAAATCGAATTGTCTCTTGGCTATACCGTCGCTCTGAATCCACTACAAGTCGGTGCTTCCATAGAGTTCTCCGAGCAATTATATCACTAGAAAAATGTTATATTCAACAACCAAAAGGTGATGTTGTAAAAAAAAGAAATTCAAGAGAAAAAGCGATTTTACTTCAAGAATTGTATAGGGGCAATTGATGGGACACATGTTCGTGTCAAAGTATCTAACAAAGATGCCCCTAGATATCGTGGTCGCAAGGGATATCCTACGATAAATGTCTTAGCTGCTTGTACATTTGATTTAAAGTTTATGTACATTTTAAGTGGTTGGGAGGGTATAACATCAGACTCAAGGATACTAAAGAACGCACTCAATAGAGAAGATAAACTAGTAATTCCAAAGGGTAAATTTTTAATACCAAAATTACTCTTGTGTGCAATCTAATTTTCAATACATAACTAATTTGAACTTATTTGTAGGCCGATACTGTTTGGTAGATGCTGGTTTGCCTCATACAACTACAATAATGGCACTATATCGAGGTGTCAGGTATCATTTGAAAGAGTATTCTGCTCGGACCCTTGAGAATGCAAAAGAGTTGTTTAATCTCCAACATGCTTCATTACGTAACGCTATAGAACAGGCATTTGGTGTTCTAAAGAGAAGGTTTCCTATCATTAGAAGTACACAGGAACCTTTTTATTCTTGTGAAACACAATCAGACATTTTCTTAGCATGTTGTATTTTACATAACGTTTTGTTAGAAGAAGATCGACACAAAAATCTTGAAGATGAGGTCCTACAGGAGATGTTAAATGAACCAAGAGAGGAAGTGCGACATAATATAAGAGAAACAAGTGAGGGTAATGTTGCATCAGAGGGAATGAAGAACTTAATTGCAAATCAAATGTGGACTGATTACTTACCGAATCCAAACCATGAGATAGATATGTCAATGTAGCTAATAGTTTTTCATTATAACATTTCAATTTGATTTTGTATGGATCATTAGTGTTTGACTTGATTTTGTATGGATCGTTAATGTTTGACTTTATTTGTGTTATTTATCTTTTGAGCATGTTATTTACTCATTACTTGTATGCTTTCTAAGTATGTATTTTTTTATGCTATCAATTCATGGTTCGTTAATTTATGATGATATGTAGGTCATAATGATCAAGGAAGAACAAGTTAGTAAGAAAGAACAAATAAAATGGATAGATTGGATGGATTATTGTTTTATTCAAGCTATGTTGACACAACAAGAGAAAGGATTAAGGATTAGTGGTAGTTTCATCCCACAAGCGTACACCAACATGGTGGAGGAGCTTAATCAAAAGTTTGGGAAGGGTTTAACAAAAAAATCATTTAAAGAATTTTTTAAAAACTTTAAAATCAGGTTTTTCGCTATGATATGACATATTCCGCGGAACTTCATTGAGTGAGTTCGGTTGGAATTCTGAAACACAACTAATTGAAGCGGAAGAGGAAGTGTGGGCCAACCTAATTAATGTAAGTTTTTGTATTCCATTATCCTTAGTTTGTATACATTTATGTTATTTTTTTAACAATAATTATATTTGGGATTGTGTGTTACAATCAAAGCCTGAGGCGATTTCATTGAAGTCCAAAAAAATACCCAACTACAATGAAATGTTAGCTTTATTTGCGAGAGATAGAGCTTCTGGGGTGCATGCTGAAACCTCGAAAGAGAAGAATGCTCGATTGAACTGGACTGTGGATATCAAAGTAGAAACTATTGAAGAAGTGGATAAGTTACTAGCAAGAAATGACATAAAAAATGATGATGATGATGATGTTGATGGTGATGATAATATTCAAGTGTTATCTCCTACATGCTTTTCACCTGTGCAAAATTCAAGTTCTAAGAAGTACAAAAGTAAAAAAAGGAAACATGAAATTGAAGATGAAGATGAACCTGAAGCTGAACCTGAATCGTTTGAAAAGGTTATTATGAGTGCAGTTAAAGATGTGGCTTCTGCTATGAGGGAAGGTAACAAAATCTTCAAAAACTCTCATCATTGGGTGTATACTGGTGATGAAAATTATAAAGAGTTAGAGCCGATTGATTTGTAACCCGATGAATTAGCAGAAGCTCTCATGTTTTTGTCGCAAAATCATTATGATGCAGGGACATTATTTAGAGTTCCGTTTAAAATACGAAAAGGTTTGCTGAAAAAAATGACGGGTGCAGGCAAATGACTTACTTAGGATGATAGTTTTTTGATTTTTTATCAGTTTGACTTCATACTTTTTGGTTTTTGGTTTGAGTTCATACATTGGAATTTGTTTGATTATTCTTGCATTGACTTTAAATTGGTTTCTTATGAATTTGTTTGATTATTCTTGTGTTGACATCATGTTAAGTATGAGCTTATGCATTTTG